AGTCATTTATGTTTGAGAGCAATTAGAGAGAAATTTAAAAAATAATCTATACTGGAGTATAGATCCAGTCTACGTTTCAGCACAAAAAAAAGAAACTGTCCAGATGACCTGACTGAAAGATGTTGGATTGTATACCTGGATTATTGAGCATGGACTTTGTTGTTTTCAACCAGTTTGACATGACTGTCAACAAGGAAGAGGGCCGGCAGTGGAGGAGGGGGCGTATCAAAGAGACCATCTTATCACAAGCAGAACTGGTTTGTTCCACTTTGGAGTAAGCTGTTGGAGGAAGAATCAGTTTTGTTGTGTGTTTCCTTGACTGATGAAGCCTTCTGGATGGAAGGTGAAACGTTTCAGCACAACAACAAAAAAAAAGAAACTGTCCAGATGACCTGACTGAAAAATGTTGGATTGTCTACCTGGATTATTGAGCATGGACTTTGTTATACTCGAGTATGTTCTAGATGCACTTGAGTAGCATGAATAGATTATTTCAGTTGGTTTTAAATGTCTCCAGATGTCTACCGTATTGAATTCTTTCATAAACTCACGGATTGTTTCCCTACTTCTGGTGTGTGTCTGATCAGCTCCAGAGTGGGGTCCAGAACACAGTTCCAGTCACCGCCTATAGTGTCATTTCCTGTCAGAGATGAAAGGGTTAAGAAAAAGGTTTGTGAAGAAATTGTCGTCATCAGTGTTGGGACCATATGCATGAACTAAATTCAGTTTCTTGTAAGATGGACCCCTGAATAATCAGATATCTCCCAAATGTATCCTTAATAACATTGGTGACTTGAAAAGGAACAGACTTATGAATTAGGGTCATTACTCCCCTGGATCTTGATGTAAAAGAGGAAGTATACATATCCCCCAGACATCTCCTACGTAGTTTTGTATTTTCTTCTTCTTCTAAGAGATGGGTCTCTTGTAAAAAAACTACTTTAGAGTTCAAATCTTTCAGCTTGTTCATGACCTGTTTGATTTTTTTTGGTTTTATGTAAGCCTCTACAATTCCAGGATGTACATTTAATTACCGTCTCCTGCATCATGTCTATTAAAAAAACACAGATGTGATAACGCTTCAAATATACAGTATAAGAGGGGCAACAAAAATAACTGAACATTCATCCTCACACTTAATCCCTGAACCGTTTGAAAAAACAAAACCCCGTTCCCAACCAAATGGTCGGGCCCTCCCAACCTACTACTTCCAACCACTGTTATGTATAGATCCTTATGATCTATTCCCCTGACTTTAAACCTCAATTAATAAACAAAAAACGTACCGTTTGGAGCTATTCCCAGTTATATATTAATAATGAACCAAGCTAAAAGTATATTTTGTAAAGAAATGCACCGAGATTACGCTCATCAGTTCTTAATCTATTCAGTCACTCCATTACACTTATCTGCCCCTTTTGAATCCTATCGATGAACGTTTGGACCTCCACTGACGTGTTGAACTTAAAAGTTTCGTCTTGGTACGTCAGCACCAGTTTAGCCGGAGGGATGATGTCATGTCTCAGCCCAAGCTTGCAGAGCTGCTTGCAGACTCCATCATATTGTTTGCGTTGTTTGTGAATCTCCGTAGCGACGTCGTTGTAGAATCTCACCCATTGGTTCTTGTAGAGGATATCCATCTTTTCTTTAGTTGCTTTGAGTACCATATCTTTTTGTTTATAATTAAGAAACCTGATAATTACAGGTCTTGGGGGTGCTTCTGCATTTCTTTTTGGGCCTATGAGGTGAGCCTTTCAAGAATCAGTGGGTTTCTCAGGGCAGACAAATCCAATACCTCTGGTATCCAACTTTTCAAAAATCCACAGGCATCAGAGCCCTCAGCACCTTCAGGGAGGTTCACCAATCTAAGGTTGTTGAGCCGAGTTCTCATCTCCATGTCAACCACTTTTTCCTCCATTAGCTTGTTTGTTCCAAGCTCTTAACTTTGTTAATTAACAACGTTTGCTTGTCTTCCATTGTGGATAAACATTCATCTGCCTGCTTTAAATGTTTGGCACACTCACCCACTTCTTTTTGCACTGTTTTTATGGCTGTCATAACGCCATCAAATCTTCCAGAAAACTCAGACTTTAAGCTCTTATTGCTCCAAGTATTTCCTCTTTGTCGTCGGATGAATTATTCCTTTCATCCATGTTAGCTGTTAGCTCTACATTAGCTTCCTTGCAATTGCATGGCCCCTTGTTAGCTTTTTTACTAGCCTCACTTGTACTTGGTTCCACGCTTTGCGGTACAAGTCCGTCAACCTGGATTGTCTAGTTGTTTTTAGTTTATCCTTTCTCGTTCTTCCAGGGCCTGGCATAATTCCACCCAAATCAAGCTCAGTTGCTACTATTGGAGTGTACCGTTTTTTTTTTTTTTAAAGGGAATTTTCAGGATTCTTATCGAGAGCAGTGTCGATTGAGACCTTCTACCTCGCGGCCATACCCGGAAGTCCCATGTTCCTTTTTCAGTTTTTAGTTTTCTACATCGCCTTACAACCTAGCTGTATTTTGTTACATTTTTTAAACAATATTTTATTTTCTCTTCTTGTTCTCAGTTTGTACACATCCTTTATGATTATCTACTGTTTGTCTTTGTTGTCTATTGTTGTCATCAGTCTTTGCTAAAATTAGGTCTCTCTTTTGAATGAGTCCCCGAGACTCAATGAGATTAACCTGTATAACAAAGGTTGAATGAAAGAAAGTGTTCCAACGACAGGGGATCACGCTCTTAAGCCTCCCTGGTAAGGTCTATGCAGGGGTTCTGAAAAGGAGGGTCCGTCAGATAGTTGAACCTCGGATTCAGGAGGAGCAGTGTGGTTTTTGTCCTGGTCGCGGAACACTGGACCAGCTCTACACTCTCAGCAGGGTCTTGGAAGAGTCATGGGAGTTTGCCCAATCAGTCTACATGTGCTTTGTGGACTTGGAGAAGGCGTTCGACCGCGTCCCTCGGGGAACCCTGTGGGGGGTACTCCGGGAATAAGGGGTGTCAGGTCCTTTGATATGGGCTGTTAGGTCCCCGTATGACCAATGTCAGAGCCTGGTCCACATTGCCGGCAGTAAGTCGGGCTTGTTCCTGGTGAGAGTTGGACTCCGCCAAGGTTGCCCTTTGTCACCGATTCTGTTCATAACTTTTATGGACAGAATTTCTAGGTGCAGCCGAGGTGCTGAGGGGATCCGTTTTGGTGGCCTTAGGATCGTGCCTCAGCTTTTTGCTGATGATGTGGTTCTGCTGGCTTCATCAGGTCGTGATCTACAGCTTTCACTGGAGCGATTCACAGCTGAGTGTGAAGCAACCAGGAGGAGGATCAGTTCCTCCAAATCCGAGGCCATGGTCTTGAGCAGGAAAAGGGTAGAGTGCCTTCTCTGGGTCAGGGAGGAGGTCCTGCCCTAAGTGGAGGAGTTCAAGTATCTTGGGGTCTATTTTACGAATGAGGGAAAAATGGAGCGAAAGGCTGATAGGTGTGGTGTCTGCAGTAAAGCGGGCGCTGTACCGGTCTGTCGTGGTGAAGAGAGAGCTGAGTCAAAAGGCGAAGCTCTCAATTTACCGGTCGATCTACGTTCCCACCCTCTTCTATGGTCATGAGCTTTGGGTTGTGACCGAAAGAACGAGATCTCGGATACAAGCAGCCGAAATGAGTTTTCTCCGCAGGGTGTCTGGGCTCTCCCTTAGAGACAGGGTGAGAAGCTCGGTCATCCGGGAGGGACTCAGAGTAGAGCCGCTGCTTCTCCACATCGAGAGGAGCCAGTTGAGGTGGCTTGGGCATCTGTTTAGGATGCCTCCTGGACGCCTCCCTGGTGAGGTGTTCCGGACACGTCCCACCGGAAGGTGACCCAGAGGAAGACCCAGGACATGCTAGTAGGACTATGTTTCTTGGTTGGCCTGGGAACACCTTGGGATTCCCCTGGAGGAGCTGGCCCAAGTGGTTGGGGAGAGGGAAGTCTGGGCCTCCCTACTTAGGCTGCTACCCCCATGACCCGACCCTGGATAAGTGGAAGAAAATGGAAATGAAATGGTCCCAAATTTATATCATGGGTGAGGCTGATATATACCTCCCAATGGCAGCGGTCCACACCAACTGTAATATATCTTACTATTAAAAACTGTAGCAGGGTATGAGGCAGGGGTGTCCACTCTCATCACTTGTATTTGCGTTGGCAGTAGAACCATTGGCTTTAAGGCAGAATTCCATCATATAATCTGGATGACCTGACAGATGTCCTGTTGCTTCTTCCAGCCAGATCTTCATGAAGGTCCTGAATTTGGACCTTCAGCTGATGCCAGGTCAGAACTAGAGTGAACCTCCTAACTGCAGGGTTTGGTTCCAGCACCATGGTGGATTCAGACTTTAAATGTCAGAACCTGTCAGACTGAACCATGTCTTATTTTTTACAAGATGGCGACGCAAAATGCTGAAGCCTGATTATTAACTGGTACAGGCCATAGAGAGAACATTACTCCAGTTTCGGTCCCCCTGCACTGGCTACCCATTCACCTTCGGGTCTAGTTCAAAATACTCCTGTATGTTTTTAAATCTCTAAACAGTTCTGCCTAATCTCACTGATTTTCTGCAACCATATGTCCCACTGTGTTCTCTGAAGTCAGCAGACCAGATGCTCCTTTCAGTTCCAGGAACCCGTCGTAAGCTCAGAGGTGACAGGGCTTTCTCTGTTGCATGTCCAAGACAGTGGAATGCGTTGCCACTGTGTGTCAGGAAGGCTCCCACACTCACAGTCTTTAAGTCTCGCCTGAAAACCCACTTTTATTCCCTTGCCTTTGACACGGTGTGATTTGTTTTGATCCTGTCTGTAGTCTACAGTGTTGACCATTTAGCTATTATCTGCTGCTATTTGTATCTATATTTTTATTTTACTTTATTTTATGTTTTCCTGTCCACTGCACTTGTTTGTTTCTATCATACAGCACTTTGGTTGGCCTCGTTGCTGTTTTAAGTGCTCTGTAAATAAATTGGTATGGTATGGTTGTCAGCAGTTTGTTACCTTCTCCGGTGGACTCCATACGAGACGATGTGTTGACGGTGTCACCAAACAGACAGTACCGGGGCATCTTCAGACCCACGACTCCAGCACACACTGGACCTGCACACACACACACACACACACACGCACGCACGCATGCACGCACGCACGCACGCACGCACGCACGCACGCACGCACGCACACACACACACACACACACACACACATCACTACCACTAACTCACAGGTGTGTTTGTGTTAGTGATGTGTGTGTGTTTGCTCACCACTGTGTATCCCGATCCTCAGCTTCAGTTGTTGATCCGGTCGGTGTTGGATCTTGAATGTCCGGACAGCGCTCAAAAGCGCGAGCGCCATGCGGGTGACCTCTCTACCGTGCAGCTTCCCGTTCCTCACCGGCAGCCCAGACACCACCATGTAGGCATCACCGATGGTCTCCACCTGGGGGCGCCACAGGACCATAGCATCCATTCAACATAACAGGACCTCTGCTGATTGGCTCTGGGGTTTCATTGGAACTCTGCTCTGATTGGTTAGAAGTTTTTACTGGTTTGACTTCCAGAGATCAGTTCTGTTTGGTACATTCATGCAGAGCCACTCCTGAATTATTCTAAACAGCAACAGTATTTTATATCACTTTATAATGTAGCTGTTTTTGTTTGTTTTTTGTTTTTATATCATTTTCTTCCATTTATTGTTGTTTTTTTCAGTTTATATGCTTTCTTTGAACAATATCTGTTGTGACGGTTGTCCACTGTTGTCATCACTCTTTGTTTAAATTCGGTCTCTCTTATAAATGAGTCCTCGAGGCTCGATGAGACTAACCTGTAGAAATAAAGGTTGAATTGAAAAACAGGTTTTACCTTGTAGACATCAAAGTTATCGATGATGGCATCAAAACAGGTGTACAGATCATTGAGCAGAGTCACCACCTGCAGCGGCACAAAGGTCTTATACTTTATGTTAATGTTTACAACCAAATGTGAAGCATCAAACCTGAAACAGAACCAAACTTCCTATAACAGTCACTTCTTTAATCGGCCCTGCTGATTGGTCAGCTAACAGTTCCTGTGTGTCAGCTGACCTCCATGGGCGTGCTTTCTGCAGAAAGGGCGGTGAAGCCAACGATGTCGCTGAAGTAGATAGTGACCGAGTCGAAGGCCTCAGCCTGAACCAGCTGTCCCTGTTTGAGCTGCTCTGCCACGGAACTGCAACACACACCATGGGACAAATATCTGGGAATACTGCAGTATAATAGTACTCAATGTGGTGGTATCTGGGAGGACTGCAGTATAATAGTACTCAATGTGGTGGTATCTGGGAGTACTGCAGTATAATAGTACT